AGTATATTTACATAATGTTGTATTATTCACCCATAACCAATAATGAGACCATGTCATCTTCAGGAAAATGACAGAAATTAAAGCATATCTCATGAAGCAATAAACCATACAAAAAAACAGTATTTCCTAATTTGTTTGAAATGTTGAAACCAAATAAAAATACCAGTCAAAGCTCCTGATGGTAGAAGGGAAGTGAAAGTCACCATTGGGCACAGCTTCCCTGACAGGTTGTTACTTTTGCTATTTTAAAAAATATTTTATATATTATTTTTATTTGATATGTATCAGTGTTATGCCTGCATGTAGATAAGTGCACCCAGGTCATGCAATGGCCACGGAGGACAGAAGAGGCTCTCAGATTCCCTGGAACTGGACAGTTGTTAGCTGCCTTGTGGGTGCTTGGATTCAAACCTGGGTCTTCTGCATAGAACAGTCAGCGTTCTTAACCACTGAACCATCTCTCCAGCCCCCTTTGCTTACTATTTTTATGTAAGTCTAAGCTATTGTTGACCCCTAGCTGCCTGCATGGAAACTTCTTTCAGTATCAAAGTTTGTCAAGAGGAATGAAGCTTCCAGGACATTATTTCTCTTGTCAGAAAAAGAGCCAGGACAATGGAAGAGCAAGTACAGAGATAAAGGGAAAGAAAAAGCCCAAGACAGGGAGAAAGTAGGAAACAGATGTTACCAATGAGGAAATGGGGAAAATGGGGCTATTCAACTGGAAAGGCAGGAGAGGGGTACTTAACAAAGAAGCTTGGGAGGTAAGGGGAAGAAGGAACTCAAGAGACTGGGGAGACATAAACTGGGGAGGGAGGAGGGAGGCTTGGACAGGGAGACAGATAGGAGGGATAAATAAGCTTAGGGAGCATAAAAAATTCAGAAATAAGTTTATTAACTAGATTCAACCCCTCCTGAAAAATACACATTAAATATCTGAACATGACTGAAAGTGTCTACCTGAAGGCTGAGGACAAAGGAACACAGTACCAGATAGGAGAAACCTCCCTCTGAGTTGTTGGTTAGGGTGAGCCAAGAGACTCCAAACTATTATACACTGTTGCCTTAGCCCTTTATTTCACCTCCCAGAACATGAAGGTAAAGCCAAATTACAGATGATAGAACATATTTCAGATATAGGACTTGAAACAATGGAGTTGGAACTAATCTGGATGCCTTCTCCCTGAAGACCAGCACTTATAGTTTTATATGCAAGCTGCTAAAAGGGAAAAAATCAATCAATTGTCCAACCCATATCCAGGGCCCAATAACCACAATGGCCCACACATCAAACTAGCTCTACTGGTGCAGTAGTGAAACCTTTACCTAGGTGGTAATCAACAGCTATCTACCTGGATTTAAAGCCCTTTAAATGGTAAGAAACTCATAAATAGCAGTGTAAATATAGCCAAATGCACTTGGCTGAAGAGGTCATAGATCTCTGAGATGCTAAATATGGATTATTATATTTATAGACAAGAATACAGTACACCACTCATCAAAGAATCTCCTTTATGTAACAGATGGAGGCTGTTACAAAGTTCCACAACTGGTCAAACATAGAGATTATATGTCTGAAAGATGTCCAGCCCTAAATGACACATCTACAGTTGAACCTCTATGCCTGACTCATAAAACATAGATGAACAGGGCACACAGAGAAGACTAATACAGCCATCAACTCTCAGCAGCAAATCTTCCTCAAACAAGAGTGTGATACACACAGAAGGCCACACCCAGCTAAGTTTTGTAGAATGGGAGGCTACAATGTCCATGGGTAGAACTCCAATAGTAAACCTTACCCACCAACAGCTCAGGGACCATTGTGGAAGAGAGGGGAAACAGAATGTAAGAGCCAGGGCTGGTGCATGAGCATAAACAAACAGAGGCTTTCAGACTGCTCGGAAATTGTTCATATGACCTTTCTAGGTGACAGCAAGGACAAGATCCAGGCCAACTCAACCAGACAAAACCCCAGAATAGAATGAAGGAAATGGGAGGCAGGCTTCAAATTTTGTACTAGAAATATTGGCAACTGATTACTGCCGGGTGAGGGAGAGTAGATTTCTTTAAGTGAGTGAATCTACATAGGCTAACTAGGCTCCAGTGAATGAACTTAATATATATATATGAATGTATTAAATCCTGTTGGGGGTGTGTATGGAGGTCATGGATACGGCAGTTGTCAAAGTTTGATTAAGATTTCCAATATGAAATGAAAAACCCAGTTGAAATTTTTTCTTGAAGCAGTCTTTGCACTTCTATCTGCTTTTATTCCTCTCTTTCTCTCATTCTTTCACTCACCCTGGACCATGCTCAGGTCTCAACATAACTAAGCAAGGACTCTGTGATCTCTTTTCATTGTTTCCTGAACATAGCAATTTTCATGATAACACTACTCACAAACTTTATTATTTTTCATGGTTTATCCAAGTAGATTACATTCTATATGGTGCATAAATCAATGCTTCTTTGTTCTTTTGCACACTAGCACATAGTAGAGATCTAAATTATATTCTTGAATAAACTGATAATTTTTTAGCAGTTGCACATGAAATTCCTAGTATAACTGACAATATCCTAAAAGGATACTAATTTACCTGCTTGACAGAACAGAAATCCAGGGACTTGTCATAGTATTGGAATATATGAGTCTATAATAGAAAGAATGCTGTAGTGCAATTTTTATATCTCACTTGTAAAGTAAACAGCCCAAACAAGAGAAGCAATATCATTTTCTGAAAATTACAGAGGAATGCAAACAAGGAAAGGTGTGGTGTTACCTTAGGCAGAGGTTTGGCAGGTTTGCAGTGAAGTCCTCCCACAAATTCAAAATTTGGTAAGAGGGGACGAGGAAATTCTAAATCCCAATATGTTCGAATGAGCCACATATCTGCTTTTCCCATCATCTCAAATATTGTTGTGGGTCTCCCTGGAGCAAAACAAAAAATACAAAATGCAGAATAATGTGAGAATGATGTCTAGAATATAGCATTTGATTTCTGTAGGTGATCTGAAATAATACAAACAAGGTCTTCAAATATTTGCATTTTGATTAATATATCTATATATACGAATACAAATGTTAAACTATACATACATTAATTAAATTGTATCACAGCTTCAAAATAACAGCTGTTAATTTAGGAACTCCATGTTATACTGAATGAATCTTATATTTTAAAAAATAGTTTTCACAGAATATTTCATCTAATTTTTACAATATAGATGCCCTGTCCTTGATACTTGATTCTTCATATTGTGATAACTTGGAGAATGTCATTGAATTCCATATAGCTACTATTATAATTTGTTCATCATAGGAGTTTAGTAATATTAACTTGAATACAGTGGTAAATGTTTCAAAAATTATTCATATTCAAATTTTGCTTATCCATACTTTAGGTTGTATTTTATTTATTGGAGAGGAATTTTGAAAGCAAAAAGTAATAAAGCATATCCATTATGTAGCAAGGATTTAAGGTTTAAAACATGATTGCTGTCAATTTGTGAAGTCTGAAATTCTAAATAACCTAAATACACAGAACTCTCTTTCTGATCTTAAAACAAATGCTCAATTGTGAAGGATATTTCATGATATTACAGTTAAATAGTCAATTTATACGTGAAGTACCTGATTTGCGAAGTGAAATATTTGCCCTGATGTTGATAGTGGTGGAGGAAAAGAAGTTCTCAATGCTCATATCTATGATCATTAAAATATTTAGACATTTATAATTACTTTTATTGACATAACACACAAGGTAAACCACAAGTAATTCTTTAGAGAAATTCTCTTTGGCTCAATTTGTAGAAATATTGATTTTAATTTCTGGAGTATTCTGAACAACTCTATGGTGTCTCTTTGTTTCTGAGATTGCTTGATTAACTTCTATTGTTTTTTCAATTCATAATTAACAGTCACTTTCTTCTAGTTTCATATTAATTCAGAAACACTCATGTTCGTGGAACTAGTCTGAGTTTCAAAGTAACAATGAAAGACAGAGCTTACCTAGAACTTCGCTGTAAAGCTGATTCCACTTCTTTTCATTAAATGTTTGGAACCAAAAGTCAAAGTATAAAACATGCATCATATTCTTTACCCTCTCCACAAATGTCATCCGGTCACTTAATTCTGAGAAAATTACCGGCACATAGGAAGGAGGGAACGGAAGTCCCCCACCATACTTTTCAAAAGTATATCCAATAGAGAAGCGAAGAGTGTACACGAGGGGTATTTTAAATACCTCCGCCAGCAGCTCACCGCAGGGACCAATTGCATCTGCGAGAACAACATCAAACTTTGATTCCTGTAGTTTCTTCATAAGACTCTTGTTCCTAACTACTGCTTTGCATAAATTTTCAATAGTATCAGAATATTTATAAAGGGATTTTTGCAATTGTGGATAATATTTCCAAAATGATTTTTTTGCATAACTACTTGTCCATTCTTTTACCAAGTCTGTAAATATATATTCCAGATCATCTTTACTCATTGATGTAGGGTATATCTGGAATTTTATAGTAGATGATTTGCTGGGATCAACAAGGATGGATGAGATCAATAAGGACGGAAGCTGAAGATGTCAGAACAGTTACTTCATGCCCTCTCTCAACAAGTTCATCCAGGATTATCTTTATGTTCATCCAATGACTGTATTCCATGGGCCACACCAGCACTTTTCCACAAGTTCCAGATCTGAAGTAGCATATCAGCTGTGTCAAGAGCAGGACTGAAGACCATTTTACGGACATCATGCTGCAATGCAATTCTTTCTGCATTTGCTGTTCCTCTCTGCAGCCCTCCATGTTTATATGTAACGACAAATCAATCAAGAAGTTAACACATAACTTCTACAATTCAAAGTGCAGGAATAATATGATAAGCTTGATCACCTGATTTCACATGTAAATAAATACATGGAGCTTGAACTGAAGATGTTGAAAGTTTGTTTGCCTACTTTCTTTTTGGACTGTATTCTATTCACTAAGATATAATAAAGTTTTCTGTGCAAGTCACCTCTCTTAATGATAATATTTCAGGGTCCTGTCAAAAATTGTGGCAATTGAGAGGCTTTTGCTTCTGTACTGTCCTCATGTAGCAGTAAAGAACAGTGAACAATACTGTTGAATCAACATTTTTCCAAGAAGTTATTTTTCAATTTTTTGACTATAGTACATACCACAGCATTATGCTCTGTAGTTAGTTGCTCAGAATTGTCATGTTCAATCCTGGAAAGTGGAGGGAGGCTCAAAAGACAGAGAAAAATGAAGCAAATGAACAACAAAGCAAAAGTACTCACAAAACTCATAGCACGTATCCTTAGGTAAAATAAATCAAAAACATTTTCTGGGGTAGAGATCTGTTTTCAGAAATACCTATAAGTTGTTCATGGAGCTAGAAGTGCGTTCCCTGAGCTTTCACGCATGCTGGGTGGGCTTTTAGATGAAACGGTTGCCTGAGTCATCCGTGCTCCAATGACTGACCTCTTTTTTTTTTTATCTTGAAGTTCTAAAAACATACTTGTATGTTTTCTTTTCTTTTAATTTATTTTTTTATTTCTTTTATTTTTTTAGAAGAAGCATTTCATTATAGTTTTAACATACTCAACAACAATTTCCAGAGCAAAGGTACATCTTTTTCAAAAGTGGCGATATAAATTTTAAGTTCACAGTTCAATTAATACAGTTATACGATATTGAACTCAGTATAAACCCTGTCAGACATAAAATTAAATGAGTCTTTAACCTTCAAAAGAGATCTCCACTTGATGTTTCTGAAATGAATCCAATAAATTGTTCATCTCAAAAGGCTGCATTTGAGTGAATCTATTTCTTTGTTTTTTTCATCATTGCCTTATCTGATGTGAAGACATTTGTTCCCATCTTCCCAATTTAGGTAATTTTTGAAACCCAAACATGGAAGGACAGAATCATTGATGATTCAGGGAGAAGTGATTGTGTAGGCCTCTCTGTAGGCAATATAATATGCATCTGAAACTCAGCTGTTTTCCCAGAAAGAACTTCCTTGCATAAGAAGGGAATTAAAACATGAGAAAGATATGATGCATTTCTTCACATTAGAACCTGATATGCAAGAAAAGTGAAAAAAAGAGAACAAGATGCACATGTTGATTTGATGTTTATTAGAGCTGGTAGGGAACAGGACAAACAGTGATATTTGGTTGTAATAAAAAGCTCTTCATGGGATCCTAAAATGTGAAACCCATTGTAAGACTCAGGTACTGAGAGGGGAGATAATAGAGTATACATGATTGAAGGTATCTCTTAGTATAGGCACCTTTAGTATAGATGGAGGCAACAGTCCATGATTTACAATGCTGAGAGGAGCCTTAATAATGAGTTAGCAAAGAAAAACATGAAAATCACAGGATAAATTTCATCTGAACTGCTTAACCTGGGAAGACTTTTAAAGAGAAAAATCAATATGCCTTTTTCTGCCTGGCATGTGAGGCTGTGGGATATGGGGGCAGATGAGCTCAGTCTCAGAGCTGTGTAAGCAGAGAAATCATTTATTTATTTAACTATTCATCCCTCCTAGAGACAGCCTGCATAATTTGCAGCAATTTGAAGGAAATCTGTCCCAAGTGGACTGGCTCACATGAGCCATTAGGAATTCGTAGTATTTGTTATCTCAGTTCCCCATGAATATCAGGGAATTAGAAGTAAAAAGGAGAAAGGACGAGAATTAATAATGGACCTGGACATGGGAAAGATAGAATTTGATACCTAGTTCATCAGGATCTATAAGATTGAGGTCACAGGAGAGTTTACAAAAGAACTTAGTTCAACAGGTACAGTCACATTATTATGGGTCTTCAGTGTTTTGTTTGTTTTGTTTTTAATGCTCTTGGAGGGGTGCATCCATTGCAAAAGTCTTTCTATTGAATTTAAATGATTTAGATCAGCATGTAAACTGGATTTATGAGAAACTAAATCAGACAGGTAGGGGTCAAAAAAAGAAAAATTAGAAGAAAGGGTCTGTTTGATGGGTGAAGGTTGGTCCATGACAGTGCCCCAAGATAGGACAAACTTTTCACATAGAACAACAGTGGATTATACGGAAAAAAGTAATATTGTGCTTCCTACCTATCCATACCATTGCATCAAACACTCACATTTTTAAGATATTATCCCACAAACATTGATATAGTTTTACAATTATTTTTGATTATTTTTGTTTTGTGTGGAAGTGCACCTGTGTCGTGCAGTGCGCACAGAGAACAGAAGAGGGCGTCTGGAACTGGAGTTACCTATGGTTGTTAGGTAGCATGTGGGTGGAGGGATGCAAACCTCGGTCTTCAAAAAGAACAGCCTGAGCTTTTAACCACTGAGCCATCTCTCCAGCTCCAAATATTAATATTTTGATAGAGTAATTGACAATTATAGGAATTTTTCCTGTCCTATTAGACTTTGCTAATTTTTTAAAGTGTTACCCTCAATACTAGGTCCAAAGACTAATTGACACTTATTTGAAGGGATCTTGCTATTATAGATAGATATACAGACATCAAATTCTAGAATGCTGTGTCTTCTACTTGCTTTGAGGCCTCTCAAAGACAGTTTATAGACTTGCAGTCATTAAAAGAAAGCAATACATGTTAAAGCTGTAGTGAAATGATTCTTCTAATCATGGAGTTATTAAAATTTTTAAAAAATGATAAAAATAATAATCCTTCAAAGCATAAAAATTTCCTCCTTAATAATTACTACCTGACGACTTTATATCCATGCTCAGATGCCAAAGAGCTCAGAAAGTAACCGACTGTGACTAATAATAATCAGATATATAGAGACTAGAAATGCATGTGCAAACATTTTAATGTCAATTGCATTAAAAATGAATTTTTCTCTATGAAACTGTGTATTTTAATAATGAAATGGAGATCTTTTTAAAGGTTAAAATCTCATTTAATTTTATGACTTATAGGTTTTATCCTGAGTACATTATTGTATAACTGTAATAATTCAACTGTGAACCTTAAAATTTACAGCCAATTTTGAAAGAGATGCATCTTAGCTCAAGAAATTGTTATTGAATATGTCAATGCTGTTGTAATTAAATGCTTCTTCTAAGCATGTGGTTATTAAATAAATAATTTTAAAAAAGAGAACAAGAAAGAGTACATGAAGTTATCAGAAAAAAGTGATGGGGAGATATGGGAGGAGTTAGACGGGAGGGAGAGGTCATGGATTTGATCAGGATACCTTATATGCTTATATGCCTGTATGAAATTCTCAATAAATTATTTTTTAAAAAAACAAAAAAATACAAATTAAAAAAAAGAAAGTAATACAATGTTAAGGTTATACTTGAACCTGGAAGTAATATTAAGTAGATATCAGAAATCTCAGAATATTTCTCAGAATATATTTTTCTGTATGAAATACACAAAAATTCAATAAAAACAAAAAAATGAAAAAAGTGAAAAAAAAAAAAAAAAACCGAAGCAAAAAAAAAAAAAAAGAAAAACAAGAAAACCATCATGTGCTTATTCATTCCCTTTTATCCCTATCCCTCACACATTCTGATTTTATATAGGCCAATTCAGTGAACTCTTTTAGAAGTTCCCTAAGATCAGAATAGGCTGACTCAGGTTCAACAACCCTGAGTCCAAGTATCTACCGTGCCAATTATATTTACAGCTCGAAAAATATCTGCTTCCCCTAGTGGACAGGAGGCTGCCAATGACTGAAGAAGGGAAATGAAGAGAAGAGGTGAATATGGGTCTTGCCCTTGAAGAAGTCCCATTTCTTTGTAAATGTGACTAAGACTGCTGCTAACACATCAGAATACAGATATTTATGACTGAGGAAAGGGAAAGAAATCTAGAAAAATTCAAGGAAGTGAATATTCTGGTATAGGAATAAGTGAAGAAGATCTTGATTTGTCGAGTTGTATTTCCAATTTATTTTTAATATACAGAAGACCCTGAATACATTTGGTGTTTGAGAGTGTATTTGCTAATTTTTAAATGATTTCTGTCTTTTTGTATACCTAATCATGTAAGATATCTTTTCCTTACAATCACAAACTTATTTAAATAGTTCAGAAACCATATTGTAGGTTCAAATTTACAATTCATATTCCTGTATGTTTGATTTGCCTGAAAATTTCAATGTCTATTGATTATTTTTCCAATTGGTATGAAAATTACTTGAATCAATAGGAGGCTTTACTGAGTAGTTTTTTGTCTATTTGACACAAACTATAGTCAGTGGAGAAGAAGGAATCTCGACTGAGGGATTTCCTCCAACAGAATAGCCTACGACCATGTCTATGAGCTATTTTCTTAATTTCTAATTGACGTAGGAAGGCCCAGTTCACTGTGTGTGGAGCTATGCATGAGCAGGCAGAAATGTCTGGGTTACATAAGCAAGATAGTGAAACAAACCAGGGAAGTAGTCTAGTTAGCTCCATTCCTCTGTGGTTTCTGCTTCAGTTCCTGCCTCAGGTTCCTGCATTGAGTTCTGGTTCTGAATTCCCTGAGTGATGGTTCTCCATCAAATATATATTCTGTATGCCTGATCAGTTGTGGAACTCTGTAATTGCCTCAATCTGATGCAAAAAGAAGGGTTCTTGAAGAGTGGTGTACAATATACATGTCTGTAATATAAGGATCCATATTCAGCATATAGTAATAAATTTCATTTGTCTATAATTATGACAAAGGTATGGTTTTATCTAAGATCTATGACCTCTCCAACCATGTATAGTTATCTATAATTACAGTGCCACCCATGAGTTCCCTCCCATTGAGATGGCTTTAAG